TACAGGCATGCACCATCACGCCTGGCTTCCACTTTGGGATTTTTCAAACAAGTACTCAGAAGATCCTGGTAAATATGGTCTGTGGACAACACTGGTGTGACACTAGGGAAATGGATATCCTTTCTGCTGAGCCTACTTTTAGGAAAATGAATTACATGTAAAGTTGTAGGAAACTGCCAGACTCCCATCCTTTGAGCTCCCATTTAAAGTGGGCATGTTTAGTTAGTCAGTGAAGTAATACTGAGTGATTTCGACTGGATGGCCACAGTTACAGTTGAGTGACCTGTGACTGTTAAGTTTCAAGAGGGGGCAGGAGGGACAGACGTCGTCGTTTCTTCACCCCAGCTCCTGATCCTTGGTAATGGCAGCTGAAAAGCCACTGCCCCAAATCTCCCTGGGGATCTGGTGGAGATTTACTGATAGGATGTAAAGAGTAGTAAGCCTTGACATTATCCACCTGGGCTGCTCAGAACCATACAAAGCTTCTCTATCGTCCAAGATCAAAATTTGGGAGGAATTTCCCCACCCAGCTCCAAAACCCTTGGAGTACCTTTTTTATGGAATTCTTGCCTCCAGGAGCATCAGCCTAGCAGTGGAATTTTTTCCAGGTTTTTTTGTTGTTGTTGCTATTTTATTCAGTCCCTTTCCAAATCTCCATTGCTATTTGGATTCTGATTGGGTTTTCAGATATGCCAGAATTCCCCCTTCCCTGTGTGTCCCCTGCTTGTTAGGGATGCAGAGGTTACTTTATGGTTCCCCTTATGTATCACTCTTGTTATTCTCACAAAGGAGCAGATGATCCCAGACTTTGGTTGGGGTTGCTTTGTTGTTAGGGAGTGTTGTTTTCCTGGAAAGATGCATCCCCTCTGTCAGACTGGGGCTGAGGATTGGGTATGGCTCTGGAGCCTAGCAGTGTCTCCACACCTTACTTGTAACCCCTTTGGGAGCCCAGGGAGCGCCCACACCCTGTTGCCTCCTTTCCTCCCTCTTAGGTGCTGCTTGCACAGGGCTCGTGGTTACAAGTGACAACACACCCTGTTATAGGTTACCAAGGACTTCATGTGTGACTGAGAGAAGTTTAGGGAATGAATAGCTTCAGGCATAGGTGGACCCAGAGGTTCAGCTGATGGGAGGATCTATCTTACACCCTCCTGTTCTTGGGTCCTTGCTTTCTCCTGTCTGTTTTAGTCTTAGGTAGCCTCTGCCCTGGCTCTGGGGTGCTACCAGCAGCTTAGCAACCACCCTGATTTCCTGCTTGTTTCACAGGCCATCCAGAGAGGTCTTCAGGTATCTCTCACTCTGTATTGTCACTGGGTCCCTCATCTAGCCACAGGGCGAGGTGACTGTGGTGCTCTTCCAGGCCCTGCCTGAGTCTCCAGTCTGCCTCTTCCTGGCCCGTTTCTCAGGAAAATCAAAGGCACTCTTTCCAGGACAGTGGCGTAGGTTGTGCAGAGGCAAAACCAGCAGATTCTGTTTCTAGGCTGGCACTAGAGTGTTTGGTTTAAAGAAGCTTCCTAGTTATGGGGACAATCAGTAGAAAAGTGATTGTTCCCTTCCCCCTGAATAGATGTGGCTTTTGACATTAAGTTTCCAAAGCTCCCAAAAGGGCTTCAAATTTTTATTTTTTTATTTTTTAATTTGCTGGAGGTGAAACCCAGGGTCTCTTGTGTACCAGACAGGCGCTCTGTGACTGCCGTATCCCTAGTCCATAGTGTGACTTCCCCAGGCTGGCTGGTATGTTCAGTTTCTTTCTGTTGGAATTTTATCCACCCATTGTGGTTAATAGTGGTTATCTCATGTGCATCTGAAACTTTGATTCTTAATAAAATAAGTTATTAATACAGTTTCAAAACAGGCTTTTTAGGACAGGGGCTGGCATGGGGCAGGGAGGTAGTGTTGGACATCTTTGCCTGTGGTCTCGCCCAGCCCTGTCCAACTCTCTTGGTAGGCATAGAAAGGATTGTTTGCTTTGTATACTGAATTCCAATTTAGTGTCATTTAGTTGTCTCCATTCAGAAATATTTAGAAGTATAACAGAATTAAACTCACATTGGCATTTTGACCTTCAGTTGTCACTGTATAATTTATAAAAATAAGCCCTTCTATCTTTCTACTTTTTTTTTTTCCCCTTCTATTTTTGGCCTAAATCTTTCACAAAACTGATTTTTCCTTGTTTTGATAATCTCTCCTGTGCTCCACCCAACCTATTTCTGGCCTGGAACTCTCTCCTTTTTTAAATTTGCTTTTTGAGACAGGGTCTCACTGTGTAGTTCAGGCTGGCATCAGTCCTAATTATTCTACTTCAGCCTCCCAAGTGCTGGGATTACAGGTGTGATCAACCTGCCTGGCCCTGGCCTGGAATCCTTAAGACCTGGTTTGTGAACTGAGGACACTTGCTCAGGTTTGACTGAGGAGTCTAGAATGTAACAAATGATTCTGCTGTAGCAACTTTTGCATGTGTGTTAGTTCATCCTCAGCAGACTGGAAATGAAGAAAATGGGGGTATTTGGAAGGGAAGTTTGGAAAGTAGAGCATGCAAACCACTCAGAAAAAAGTGAGAACAAAGCAAAACTCAGGTTTTGGAAATACCAGTGTATGTCCATGGGCAGGGGTGTTTGTTAGGCGCTTCCTCTTGGGAGGGAGTCATGTAGATACCTGCCAGGGGAGAAGCTAATTCAGTGTTTATAATCCAGTGCTGAGGTTGAAGGAGAGAAGTTTAACATGTTCCACTGGCTTGAGCCTCTGATGGAACATGCCTGACTGTCGTATCAGGGAGCTTGTACCGCTCAATGGGGCTGTCCCATGCTGTCAGATGGGTCAAGCTGGCCAGAAGGTAACACATTGAAATTGGAGCCTCCTGGCAGCAAGACATAGGAGTTACGGCCTTGTTGTGAGTGTGTTAAAATGAGAGAGTGAGGTGTGAGTATGCACAGTCCTGTGTGGCACAGCGGTGGAGGTGCAGGTATTTGAATCTTGAAGCTCACCCTGCTGGTGCCTTCAGGGCCCTGCTGCTTTGCCAGTGTTAATATCACAGTTGAAAGTTTTGATTTCTAACATCTTGCTCCAGTGAGGTGCACAGCCCAGTCTGTCTGGAATGGAAGATGGTCACTTGGTGCTCTGGTGTCCTTTCAAACTACTGGGTATCTTATCCCCTGATATCTCCCTTATCATCTGTTGGTTCTGAAACTTGCCTGTCTATTAAGCCTTAAGAAAATAGCAACTACCCAGCACTCTGGAAGGCTAAAGCGGGAGAGTTTTAAAGTTCCAAGTCCTGCCTGGGTAATTTTGCAAGACTATTTCCAAAATGGGGAAGGGGAGGAGGAAGTAGGTACTAAGAACATAGCTCAGTGTGAAGGCCCTGGGTTTAGTCCTTAGTAGTACACACACACACACACACACACACACACACACACACAGTAGAAGCTAGATGTGTAAATTACGTAGGCTTGCTTTCTTTTTGTGACTGTAGCAAATATTTTATTAGCTTTTTTGCTTCTTTGTGAAGCTTGAGTATTTCAAAAACCACAGCAGGTTAAACCTGTTACAGAAAGGCCTGAGTTCTCCAACTGCCCCAGTTTCTGAATTGCTTGGTATTCCTTTCCCAACCTGTGGTATGGTCTGCCCTTTTCCACAGGAATCACTGCCTTTTTTTCTTTCTTTTTTTTTGCTGTAAGCCTAGAAGGCTTTATGGGAGCTCTGGGCTTCTCTTAGCCTTGTGGAGAAGGCTGGGCCCAGCTGGGTATCTGCCAGCAGCCCACGTCCCATCTCCCCTGCCCAGGTGGCTGGACTAGGGGAGGGCAGCAGAGCTCAGGTTATTGTATCTCTCTTGGGGAGAGCATTCTTCTTGTTTTTCTAGGGTATCCTCAACCATTGGAGGTTGTTTGAACCAGCACCGTTTGCTCTTGTGCTTAATCGAGGCCTGAGGGAAGGTGCCTTGTTCTGCTCACTTCTTTGAAGCATAGGCAGGTATACCTGCTGTGCACCAAGTAGAGTGACAGATGTGGAAGCTGGGGTCCCTGGCACATCACAGGACCCCTGGGCATCACTACTTACTTTGGCACATCTGCAGTTTAGGCTAGGAAGTACTGAAAATCAGAGTGTTCTTTTTTTCCTCTGTGAGGCCCATTCTGTTTATACCAGTAGTAAGTGTAGCACTCTGAGGGAAAAACCTTGTTAAGCCAAGTGTGTAGGTTAGCATGAAAAAGTTTTATCTGTAGTCTTCTGACAGGCTTTGGGGGATTCATGAGATTTAGACAGATAGATGGAAAAGCAGAATATACCTGCCCTCAGGTGAAGCCAGTTCTCTGGCCTTAAATGAAGACAGAAACCTTGGCATATCTTATGGTGGAGAGAAAGCAGTGAAGCTTTATGAACTGTCCCCTTCTCACTTGTGTGGCTATATATGATGACTGAGACTTATTTTTATTTTTAAAATTTTTTTATTTTTTGGTCCCGGGAATCGGACTCAGGACCTTGCACTTGCCAGGCAGGTGCTTATTGCACTGAGCTACATCCCCGGCCCTGCTGATTTACTTTTGATGTGCCCATTTTCTCCAGAACTTAGATGAGGAAGCTGGAGCTGTCCACTGTTTCTCTGGCAGAAACAGCATGGCAGCTCAGTGCAGAGTAGGGGCCACCATAGGGGCATGGAGGAGGTGGCAGGTACTGGGAAAATGTGTCAGGACGAGGGTTGGTGAGAGGGTACTGGAAACAGGCCCCAGCTAGGCAGCCATAATTAGCCAGTACCATGACTCTAGGCCCCAGTTTCCTCATCAGTACAATAGGGAGAGTGTCCTATCTGGAAGTTTTTCATGGGCAATAATAAGTAAGACAGAGCCTGACCTGAAGGACCCCAAGTGGTCAGGCAGGTGATCATGGTAGATGGGGACTCACTTTCTCTCCTGGCACCAAGTGTGCTGTTGTATCTGTGACCACCGTGCTGGACTATGGACTTTGGAACATCATTTATTCAACAACTGTTTATTCCATGTTTGACACAGTGCTAGGTGCTGGGTGCTTATTGTGAACAAGACAGATGGCGGTCACCAAGCATGAGGACCAGAACCCTGTGTCAGAGATGTGGACCTAACTCTAGCTCTGTAAGTATTTCTCATCTGGAGGAAGAGAGGGGATGGATGTGTTTGGAGTGAGTGTGCAGTCCTGCTCTTCAGTTTTCTCTCCTCTGGGAGGTGCAGTTGGGCCAGAACCAGGGAAGTTTTCAGGCTGTTTTAGCTGGACCAGATGCTGGAAGCTCTTGAAAGCCCAGGGGAAGTTGTTAGCCTTGCTCTGGTAGAGCAGTCAGAAACATCTTCATAAATTCTTGAGCAGGGAAGGTCAGGAGAGAAGTGGCCTTTAAGGAGAATTCCCTGAGTGGTTAGAAACCTGGTAGACCAACATCAAATGTTTAGCAATTTTAAAGATATAGGTAGGTGTTTTGAAGTTGAAAGAACCCTGAAATGAGAGACATTCTTGCCCTGCATGGAATTTTGAAGCTGTTGGGTTTGGCTGCATGTAGGTCAGTGGTAGAGTGCATGCTTAGCATAGGCGAGGCCCTGGGTTTAATCTCCAGTGCTTACACACACACACACACACACACACACACACACACACACACACACAATCTGATTCAGCTTTCCAGTGCCCATATTGTGCCTGGCAGTGCAAATGCAACTCACAAAATAGCCAGTGTCCAAACGAGGCCTTTTGAAAATATAGGTCTTTTTTTTTTTTAAGGCTTAAATGAGTTTAAATGTTATTCATTATTAATTGATTTTATTGAATAAGTTTATTTCTTTCTTTATTTTGGAGACAGGGTCTTGCTGTGCAGTTCAGGCTGGCTTTGAACTCACCATGTAGGTCAGGTTGGCCTTGAATTCTCAGCAAACATTCTGCCTCAGCCTCCTGAGTGATGGGATTACAGGCATGCACCACCACACCTAGCACTGATGTAACTGATCTTGTCTTAGCTTTGAAAGCAGGATGGACTCTTTCCTCCCAGGATGGACAGTCTGTCTACTCACAAAGCTCACCCAGTCACACTTGGTACAGTAGTATCTTGGCCAGGCTTTCTCACCCTCGTGGGCTGCTTGTGTCATAGTGGAGTGTGTTTTCTCTCTTTAGGTCATGACTAGTTTCTTGGATCTGAGGCTCCAGAGGAGGAAATGACTTCAAGGCTCTTACTCCAGCTTGATTACGGAAACTGGACCTTCGTAGGGCGTGGATTTACCAAGGATAGGAAATTTTCTCTCTTTGAAGGGCTTTAAATTTGTAACAAAGAAAAATAAAAATGACGACTTCATCTATCAGACGGCAAATGAAAAACATTGTGAACAATTACTCAGAGGCTGAAATTAAAGTCCGGGAAGCCACCTCCAATGACCCGTGGGGCCCGTCCAGCTCTCTGATGACTGAGATTGCCGACCTGACCTACAATGTGGTGGCCTTCTCAGAGATCATGAGCATGGTGTGGAAGCGGCTCAATGACCATGGCAAGAACTGGCGGCATGTGTACAAGGCACTAACACTGCTGGACTACCTCATCAAGACAGGCTCTGAGCGTGTGGCCCAGCAGTGCCGTGAGAACATCTTCGCCATCCAGACTCTGAAGGATTTTCAGTACATTGACCGTGATGGCAAGGACCAGGGCATCAATGTGCGTGAGAAGTCAAAGCAGCTGGTGGCCCTCCTCAAGGATGAGGAACGGCTGAAGGCTGAGCGGGCCCAGGCTCTCAAAACCAAAGAGCGCATGGCCCAGGTGGCCACTGGCATGGGCAGCAACCAAATCACCTTCGGCCGTGGCTCCAGTCAGCCCAACTTGTCCACCAGCTACTCGGAGCAGGAGTATGGCAAGGCTGGAGGATCTCCAGCCTCCTATCATGGCTGTGAGTAATCAAAGTGCTCCCTGCCCCTTGTCTGATTTGGCACCTTGTACAGATGTGGCAGCAGGGGAGGGGGAGGTAGGTAGTATGGTATTATGAGTGCCCTGAAGCTAAGGGAGTAGTGACCACCTTAGGGCCAGACTTGACGTTTTTTTTTCTGGTACTGGGAATCGAGTCAGGACCTTGCACTTGCCACTGCCCTATATCTCTACCCTGTTGACTGTCTTTTAAATTCTCAGCTTTTGGCAACCCAGACAACAATGCGCTCAGTCTGGATTGAGATACGGTCACTAAAGGGCTTTGAGTCCCTTGAGTGCTCTGTGGTCTCCTTGGTGCATGTGGGTAGAGTGGCCTCTGTGGTTTCCTGGGTTCTCAGAAAAAGATGGACACTAAGGTAGGTCTTAGAATTTTCCTCCTGAGAAGTTCTGCCAGCAGAAGAATTGTTCGGCTCTAATAGTGGGGAACTGAGTCTGGTAGCCAGAAGAAAATGAATGCTCTTTCTTGATAATCATATTTCTTTAATATTTTGTTTTATTTTGTTTGTGTTTTTTGAGACAGGGTCTCACTGTGCAGTGCAGGCTGGGCTTGAGCTCACTTTGTAATCTAGGTTGGCCTCGAACTCACTGTGATCTTCCTGCCTCAGCCTTCTGGGTGCTGGGATTATAGGTGTGCGCCACCACACTCAGCTTTTTAATCTTGTATTAAATGTTTTTCTACTGACTGAGCTGTAGGTCTCTTGAACTGCTCAGTGTATTATTCTACTTCAGAATCACACAGGGTGGAGATTGGATTTCTTGTGTGTCAAAGGGAAAAATGCAAAGAAACCTTTACCGGTGATTAGTGTGAATTCCAGTCTCTGTGATTTGGTTAGGTGGCTATATCTGTGCACAGAGCTGGCCTATGTTTTGGGTTTTCATGTCAGATCACTGTAAGCCTTTGCCCTTCATTCAGAAGAGGTCTATGGGAGTAGAAATGGTGTTCAGGAAGTGATGGATGCTGTTCTCTGAACCATATTGGCATCCTGGTTGTTCACTGAAAGATTCCAGGAATAGTGCCCTTCCTCCGCCTTCACTGTGCTCTGTGGCCAGTATGGACCCCACACTCAGCAAGGTGGCTGTGGTGGCCTTGTGGGGTGGGACAGGAATGAAACAGAAACTGTAACTCCTGGCTGCAAAAACGAAAGTGCAGATTTCCATTCCATGTTTTATTTTTTGGAATTAATAACACTATATCAGCACAACAGAAAACTTTTTTTTTTTAAAGGAAGTTGTTTGTAGCTCGACAAATCCCTGTCAACCCTTGCTTGGTTAATGATTTTGTCACCAGACCATTTACCAACGTTTCCTGCTTTTGCAAGTTCAATTAGACTTGGTATCAGCTGCCACCACCAGTTGAGAAATGTGGCACTGGGAGATTTGCATATCAAAGTCAGACTTCCTGTCTCTAGGAATTCTGTACTAAGTATGGAGCAGATTAGCATTTTCTTGTGTCACTTGTAGTTATTTCCTCTTTTAGTTTGAACTGTTCGCTCAAGCATGGCTTTTACCCCTGTGAAACCAGTTGAAAATGATTCAACCTTAATCTTCACAGTTCTCCTGCAGGGGCTCAGTTTCACGCCCCCATCGCCCTTTAGGGAAGTTGCTTTGTTTCTGTCAAGAACCCTTCTGCCACCCCCCAGAAGAGGCTCTCTTTGAATTGCCGTAGTCCCATCCCCTTGCCTTGCCTGCTCTACACTGCTGTGGCTGTGGCGTGTGGTCAGGGGATTGGCCCTGTTTTTCCCATGCCTCTTACAGTCATTGTTCTTCAGAAGCCAGAGGGTACAAAGCAAGGAGCTGCAAAAGCATCAATTTCATGAACAGTCTGTGTAACATTCCACATGGAGGAAGGAGACTGAGGGCACAGGAGCCTGGTTCTTTGATCTGGCCCCTCCTCATTTTGAGCCAGAGCCATGGGCCTTGCTGGGCTTCCAGTGGGCTAAATGATGCTCCAGCTCTAAAGTTTTCTAGTTCCCTCAGACCTTAAGTCCAAGCTGCATAATCAGTGTCAGATTGTGGTCAGCAGGCTCTTCATGACTAGCTTCCAAGCGCAGGGGACAGCAAGGGTGATGCAGGGCTCTGGGTGGCTTCAGCCCATGCTCCCTGCAGGGCTGCTGCACATCCTCTAATGGTCTGTCTCTCTCTGTGTGTATGTGTGTGTGTGTCCCTGCCCAACAGCGCCTGAGGCCTCGCTGTGCCCTCAGCACCGCACAGGGGCCCCCCTGAGTCAGAGCGAGGAGCTACAGCCACTGAGCCACCGCCACCCCTTTCTGCCGCACCTGGGGCTGGCTTCCCGCCCAAATGGCGACTGGGCCCAGCCTTGCCTCACTTGTGACCGCGCAGCCCGAGGTGGGAAGGCGGTTTGCTTTTCTCCTTCCTAGAAATACTGGGCAGCTTGCTGGGGGGTGCTTGTGCCAGTACAGCCAACTCTCTCCCTTTCTCCTGCTGGGCCTGGCAGTCAAACCTCCAGCAGCCTGGGACCCTCTTACACATACCTCCCAGGAGATCTTGGCCTACCCATGCTCCCTTTCATGTGGTCACATACCACTTGCTTAGCAGAGGGAGTGCTCTTTGGGTAGGCGTGGGTGATGGCCCCTGGTCTCCCCGTGTCTCATGTCCCGACAAACTGGAGAGGGCTCTGCTGCCAGTGATGGTAGATCAGACCACTTGATTTGTTGAAGTGGAAATGTCTGATTTAAACCTCACAGTGCTGATTCTCAGTTGATGGTCACTGGAAGCCATCGTCCTTTATGCAGCCATTGATGCCTTGCTGATTATCCAGTAGGACTGTTTTTGCTGTCACTCCTGAAGTCCCTGTTACCTGAGTAAATGGAGAGTTAGCTGTACTGTCAGTTCCAGGTTATGGTGTTTGGAGATGCTGAATTCAATGAGTAACTCACAATGGGGCTTCTCTTTTTAACTAATTAAAAATGTATCCTGGTCAGAGCCTACACTGTTGTAGGTTAAACCAGAAGCAGATTTTCACTGGTGCCTATAAGAAGATACTTTCAGTCTAATCTTCGTTTGGCTGGAGGTGGGGCCTATGCTTGTGAAGAGAGCTGTCTTTTCCACTCTGACCAGAAGGGGCTCTGCCAGCAAGCTTTTGTGTGATTTTCCCAGTAAGGTAGCCAGCCTTTTAATCAGCCCTGGAGACCGTTACTGTTCATTCACGCCTCATTAATACTACAGCTTGTTTGACTTGGTATTTGTGTGATCACTGTACTTAGCTCTGAAATATTTTCCTTCATTTCCCTGTCTTGCCCTAACAGTTTATATAGAATTTTGGTTCCTTCTACATTGACCTTAGAAAATGTAAGGAGGAGCAGCTTTGTACTGAAAAGAATGTCAAGGTCAAAGCTTTTTAAAATGTGTACGTGAATTACATGCCCATTTCTCCTGCTGCATACTCAAGTTCCCACAGAACTTCATAGAATTTGCCCTTTCTTTCCCCTATAGTCTGCCTATGTGGGTAAGGTAAGGTTTCTTGAACCGTGGTAGTTAGTTTTGGGCTTATCTGTTCCTATAGTTTTGCTGGCTTTCTTGGAACATATATCTTTTTTTCTTCTTTGTCTTTTTGAGACAGGGTCTTGCTGTGCATTTCAGGCTGGCCCTTGAGCTCACTTTGTAGCCCAGGCTGGCCTTGAATTCACAACGATCCTCCTGCCTCAGCCTCCCAAGTGCTGGGATTACAGGTGTGTGTGCCACCATGCCTGGCAACATTTGCCTATTAAATCCAGACCTGGTTGTCTTCTGCTGGGCCCTCTCTGGTCCTCCCTCTGCACCTTTGCCTGTGTGAGTCTCTCTGCTTGGATGGCTACCCCCAAATCAGACAAGTCGCTCAAGGTGTACAGTATGTGGATTTCTCTTCTTTTTTATCTCTGGTATGAATTAAAGATAGAAACGAGTATCTTTGTATTTAACAGTTTTTTTATACTCTGGGTGAATTTCCAGCAAACAAATGTTACCTGGAATTGCGGTTCACAGTTAACTAACTGGTACTAGCATTCTTTTCCATATTCCTCAGCTGCCCTGTGATACCATGGGGGTACTTTTCTGTTCTCTCTTGTGTTGACTGTTATGTAGGTGGATTTGGAGAGCACACCCACTTGGAATCTAGCCTTTGAGAAGACAGAATAACTATTACCAGCCATTCAGAAAAGGGTCTCCTGAAATGGAGTCTGTGACTCATGAAAGATGTTTGTGAGGAAGTTGTTAGGATTTAGACCTTATAGGAGCAGAGGTAGCCAGTTGCTGAGAAGCCTCCTTGCATGAGAGCAGCCATGGTGGGACAGTGTCTCATGCTTTTGACTGTTATCCTGATGGGTAGTTATGGCGTTTGGGGACAACTTTCTCTTGTGAGCCAGATGTCATTTTTTCTTACCCCTCCTCTCCCACGCTGCCCTGACCATGGATATCTCTCACGTTCACTGACCATGGATATCTCTCACTTTCTGTCCTTCATCTCATTCTGTTACTCGAGTCTAGTGCTAGTCTTTTGATTGATTTCTTTCCTCTCAGCCTACACCTACATCCAGCCTCATCTTTATCCTGTGCTCTGGTTCTAGAGCTTAAATTATGCCTTTAGGTGCCATCTTGCCGGCAGGGTCATCCCTGAATTTCTGTCTAGGCAGATAGAGCCTTCCCTGGTTCACCTTGGTCTCCTTCTTCAGCCGCCCCCGCCCCCCACCAAGTCCTTCTGGTCCTTGTCCTCCCAAAGAAGCATCACATATCTCAGGTCCTTTGATGTCTGCCTACAGTGCAAAGCTTTAGGTTCTGTCTTTGCAGTTCACCCCACCTGTGCTCTGGGCTCCTACATTCCCTTTGGCACATTTGTTCCTGGCCACTTTCCCCTTCTTCAGATGTCCTGAACCCACTCCCACCTCAGGCTCTGTGCTGGGCACCTACCCAATGGTGCTTGCATAAAAATGGAAAGGAAGGCATAATGTAGATAAATACAGGCATGTTATGTGGTAAGTGCTCTGGAAAACAGCAAGACCAAGACAACCCTGTGAGTGTGTGGGGAGTAGTGAGTGTGACTTACAGTGTGGAATACAGGAGGATTAGAGGAAGAGGTTGAGTGTGCCCAGGAATGGTGTGGCAGTGTAGAGGTTGAGGTAGAAATGTGCTCAGGGCATTTGTAGAAGAGCGTGGTGGCCAGGGAGGCTGGAGCCAGTGTAGGAGAGTGGCTAGTAGGGTCAGCGTGGAACACTGCAAAGTCTGGCCTGCAGGGGGCAGAGGGCGGAGTCTCTCAAACTACTTCTAGCAAGGAACATTCCTTAAATTCCTAGTCTAACCCAGCCAGATATTTGTGTGTCAGTGCTTAGATGTTGTAGCAATGTCAGATGGCTATCAGAAGGGCCTCACTGTACTTACCTTGTTGCAGGCCACATGCTCTGCTCCATGAGCTGGCATGTGGCCTTCTGGGTCTATATCAAAAGGTCTGTGGGGCTTTACTCACCCAGATGGGGAGCTGGGGAGAGGTGGTTTGAACATAGGACCACCTCTCCCCAGCTCCCCATCTGAATTAAGGCTGAGAAGGGTTAGGAGGATCCCTCTGGCTCTGTGTGGGGCAGGGCAGGAGTAGGCCACTGCCCTGGTCCAGGTGGGAGACCTGGAGCCTGGTGTGCTGCAGGAGTCTGGGGAATGGCCAGGCCTTTGGAGCCACTTACTGGAGGCATGTGAGAGTGCTGGGAGACTGGGTGCAGCAGGTGTGGGGTGGACGGCATGTGGAAATGTCTACTACACATGTAGGTGGAGGCGTTGAGATGTCTGGAGTATGAGGGAGAATTCTGGGCAGAAAAGGGTGCATAGTTGGTGCTTCTGACTTTTAGGTCTTTGGCTTCTCTGTACTCGTATTTACCTGAAGGCTCAGGGCACATTGGCTGCCTCTCCAACCCCAAGGCCTCAGCTTGCCGGAGTTAACTACCCTCACATGATCCCGGCACACAGGTGGAGCTTGGGACTATTATGTGTTGACCAAAGCTGTGTGGCTTAGAGGAGGCCTCTCAGGTTAGAGGGTTGAGAGATTTGCCCGAGATCACAAAAGTGGCAGCCAGCTTGGATTGGGGCCTGGGTGGGAACAGCCTGTGTTCACCCAGGGACCTTGTCACCTGCTCAGCTTTTGCTGGCCACAGCACTTAGTAGGTTGTAAAGAAATTACAAAAGTTCTTGAGAGTAGCGGGAACCTTGTCACATCAGAGGTGACAGAGGGTTTGTGAAGATGCTAAGATTCAAGGATGAAGTTTGAGGAGAAGGGTTACTGCTGTGCTGTGTGGATGGTTGGGGCCACGTGTCCTCCTCGTCCTGTCTCCCCTCCCCTGGCTTGACCCCCACTGGGAGCAGTGGAAGGCAGTGATGCCTACCTAGCACTATAATCGTGGCTTTCTTTTGCTGATGTCCCTTAATCAGCCTCTGGTGAGGTACCCTCTGTCCTGATGTACCGCGAACCTGGTGCCTTGGACTTTTTGTGTGGGAGGATTTAACTGCCAGTATCCCTGTTTCTGAAAAGAAAGGAAGGAAATCCGGATAAAGTCCTTGTCACCTTTGATTTGCTTTAGTAAATCAGAACAACTTTAAGGCTGTTAAAGAGCCAAGGTTTTGGTGTGCGGCTTTCCCCGTGTGAAAGCTGCCACCCGGCCCTCATCTTCTCCAGATGACCTGGCAGTCACACTTGTCTGGCACCATGTCGGGTACGGGGCAGCCAGCTGTGGTGTGGTTCAGGTCTTCTCTCAGAGCAGTGTTAGCGAGCCCTTCACCTCCAGGGCCTCGCGCAGCCACTGCTCTCCTCACAGCCCTCGGGCATTGGCTTACGAAGTGATTACTGGGGATTATGGCTGTTTAATGTATTTGCCCTGCTTTACTCTAGAAAGGATTTGAGTTAGCTTGCAAAACACATGCAATACCAGAGGATTAAACAGATACAAGAAGAAACTGGGCCAAAAGGGAAATAAGGGTGAGAAAATAAAACAGGACCAGAATCATACACAGTAGGTAGAGATGGATCCAGATTTGGCTTTGAGTGTCTCCCCCACCAACATCAAGAGGACAGTTTCTCTTTGGATTCTTTTCAGGTATCCAGGGCAGGATGTCAGTACAGGGACTCAGGTGCTTACTGTGGTACAGGTGAGAGGAGAAGGCAGGGCCTGAGAGCAGCTGCCTAGAACAACTGGCATGGTGGTGGTCATAGGCACTGTCCTGCAGCTGCCTCTCCGTAGAACCTGAGCCTGGAGCCCCCAGGCTGTGGCTTCACTCTCTAGGAGTCCACCTGGCAGGACTCCAAAGAGAGCTCCAAGTCCCTTTGTGGCTGTTGCATTTCCTCCACAGTAAGTAGCCATTCTAAACTGAATAGG